GGCTGCAGCGGGGCGATGGCGAGCAGCGGAGGCGGCGGTAACACCGGCGCGGGCGGGGGACCCGGCCTGAGCCTCGGCCTGGGCCTGGGTTTGAGCCTCGGCATGGGTGAGGCCACCGGCGAAGCGGAGGAGGAGGCGGCCGCGGCCGAGGCGGTGGGACGCCTGGCCACGACGCTGTGGCTGCGGCTCCGCGGCTGGGAGGCGGTGCTGGTGGCCGCGCAGCGGCTGCTGGTGTGGGAGAAGCCGCTGCACAGCCTGGTCACGGCGGCCGCGCTCAACGGCCTCTTCTGGTAACGGCCGCGGAGGAGGGGGGCGGGGCCGGGCTGCGCGGGAGAGCGGGGGCGGAGGGGCTGCGAGCACCCTTCCCCGGGCTGGGGTGACACACGCCCTGGAGCAGTCGTCCCGCCCCCGTGTGTAAAGGCTGCTGTTCTCCTGGGACACCCCCATTCCCCGATCTTCGGGTCTCGAGTTAGGCCGGGAGGCTCCCCTTCCCCATCAGTGGGTGCTTTTTCCGCTTCGTGATGGATGCTGGAGCCTCCCTCACCCACTCTCCGCTGAGGTGCTTGTCTCTCCCTAAGGTTACTGTCTTCGTCGTCCCTTCGGCCCTTCTTTCTGCTCAGCATCTCACTCTTGGCCTATTTTCTCCTGGATCTTTGGCGGCCTCGCTTCTTCCCCGATGTCTCAGGTGAGTGTTACTCATCCTGCAGTCCCCCTGTGCACTTGCTTTGTGTCTCGCCCGCTGGGTGAGTTCTGTAGCAACCGAGAAGTACACCAAGTCACCTGCCTCCCTGCCCCATCAGTGAGCCAATTCGGAAGTGGAGATTTGCATTTTTCTCAAATTTAATTTTAATGTAAATGTAGTGGTTTAGATTGTGAACTGTGAACTCTGTGGCCAGATTGCCCAGATTCCATTTCCTGTTGGTCCTTAACATATGTGTGATCTTGTAAAAGTCACTTTGTCTGTTTCTTCATCTATAAAATATGGGTGACAGAACTTGGTTGGCAGGTGAAGATTAAATGAGTACATTGTGTGCTTATGGTAAGGCTTCATGTCTGATAGGAATTACAGGGGCCTTAAGTCTTTTCTTGTTCACATAAATAATTAACATACGCATTTTGGAGCAACTAGGTGTCAGGCTGTGTGTGAGCTGTTGGGGAGATAAACATGAATGAGATGTGGTTCTTGTGTTTGAAAAGAATAAAAAAAAATCATGGAGACAGACAGGCGTTCAACAGTAACACTGTAATGCTTCTGGCATTAGGCAGCTGAAGAACTACAGAGGAGGGGTCAACTATTTCTTCCATGGGGAGTGACTCCCAGAGGCCCTACTACTCAATAATTTGTCCTCCTCCTCTCTCTATAGCATCATCCCCAGAGGAGCCACACTCTGACAGGTGAGTGCAGGCCACCTTTTGAAGACATGTATGCCCAAACCCAGTCTTACTTTGGTGCTGATGTCACTGCAATGCGGGGCATCCTGCCGCTCAGCAGGCACAGACCCCAGCAGTGTGAATGGACTGATAACAAGTTTGGTCCTAGGTTCCACTGTAGGTGTTTGCATGCTGCTTCTTTTGGAGCAGAGGGTTGGGAGTTCTGGGCTTTACTTCCCAGGACCAGGACAGCCTCCCTCTGGGGAGGTAGGGTTGTCTACTTCCTTAGATGATCTATTGGCATTCTGAGAGGGATTTGAGTGCTTAGGAAGCTGGTGTCTGAGGCCTCCAGGGGTCATGTCATGTCTCCCCAGTGAGGGTGCGGGGTCAGGCGCCCGGCCGCACCTGCTGAGTGTGCCCGAGTTGTGCAGATACCTGGCTGAGAGCTGGCTCACCTTCCAGATTCACCTGCAGGAGCTGCTGCAGTACAAGAGGCAGAATCCAGCTCAGGTACTTCCCCCATGTCACATAATGGTTTCCTGCAGTGCAGGGAAATAGAGGGGTGGGGTGGAAGGACTGATGGGAATGCTGATTGGAGACACTGAAAGAGGCCCAGTGCCTTCTTGAGACAACATTCACAGCTAGCACAGTAGCTTGGACAGAAGGCAGAGACACCTCCAGGAACAAGCTACTGATGTCCTGTCACTATTTTCTTGCCAAGACAGACCAGTCTGTAATTGTAGGAGTTTAATGGTATCTACTGGAAACTTCCTGACTCACTGGTCTTTGGCATCCTTTTGACTAAATTGAATCATCCATTTCCTAGAGAATCTGCTCTTCCCCCCACAAGCTGAGCAATATGTTACCCCAGTGAGTAGGACATATACTTGAGTCCAGTTTTCTTAGACCCTGTGTTCTCTGCAGTTCTGTGCTCGAGTCTGCTCTGGCTGTGCTGTGCTGGCTGTGCTGGGGCATTATGTTCCAGGGATTATGATTTCCTACATTGTCTGTGAGTAGGTTGTAACCCCTGCCTTTCCCAAAACCCTCTCCTGTCCTATTTCTCTGGACTGACCCAAAGGGAGGATGGTGCTCTCGGCTGTGCTCCGTGACCCATTCGTGGAGATCTCTAGTGGAGGCTGTATGTCGATTTAGTAGAAAAGTCATCTGAGGAAGGGGACAGTGGATGTGGAGGGAAGAGATTGGCACAAACTGGGGGAAGGACCACATCTTCCTTTAGCCCTTTCCAGTTAGGCTCTGTTGAGTAAGGGCCCTTAGGTGATGCGCATAGGGAGTGCTGAGTGGACTCTGTAACCCTAGTGCTGAGTATCCTGCTGTGGCCCCTGGTGGTTTATCACGAGCTGATCCAGAGGATGTACACTCGCCTGGAGCCCCTGCTCATGCAGCTGGACTACAGCATGAAGGCAGAAGCTGATGCCCTGCATCACAAGCACGACAAGAGGAGTAAGGGACTCCTGTCACTGGGAGAGGGAGGCAGGGCAGGACCTTAACATAGGGCTTATGAAGGGCCTCCGGATTTAGCTACACCCAGTCCCTGGGCCTTATTTCCCACCCACCCCTGCTGGGTTACAGCCTTGCTGTTCTTTTCTAGAGCGACAGGGGAAGAATGCACCCCCAGGAAGTGATGAGCCGCTGGCAGAAACAGAGAGTGAAAGCGAGGCAGAACTGGCTGGCTTCTCCCCAGTGGTGAGGGTTAAGGGAGATGGGTGTAAAGTAGAAGCCGGAGGGAGAATCTCTCCGCTTTAGAGCAGCCACAGCTCAAGGGGGTGGGAGCTGGGGCAGGCGAGGGGGTTTTCCTGAAAAATAGGCATTCTCATCCCCCACCTTCGCATTCATCCTGGCTCTCCTGCAGGTGGATGTGAAGAAAACAGCCCTGGCCTTGGCCATCACAGACTCGGAGCTGTCAGATGAAGAGGCTTCAATCTTGGAGAGTGGTGGCTTCTCGGTGTCCCGGGCCACAACTCCACAGCTGACTGATGTCTCAGAGGGTATGGGCCAGGGAAGCCCTTTGCACCACCTTACCCTCTTAGCCCTTTCCATAGGGTACTGACTGCCCTGTCTACTTGTCGCTCCCCAAAAAAGTTTTCTTTAGGGCCTCCTTGGTGGCGTAGGAGATAAGTCTCAGCGCCGTCACCACAAAGGCTTAAGTTCAACCCCTGGCCAGGGAGCTGACCCAGCTGGCGCAGCAGACGTCCTGCTCACCCGTTGCTCCCCTCTCTGTCTCTGGTGAATCCTCTCACTCCCTGTACCTCTGGCCTATGCCCCAGTTCTTCTATGCATAAATAAGTCTTTTTTAGAAAAAAAAAAGTTTTTTTTTCTCTGGGGGAACTGATCCTCTCATTCTACCCCAAGCTCCAGAAGACCTTATGGTCCAGCATTTATGTTTTGCATCCTCATCCTTGAACTGGTATGTTGTGGTCACTCAGAACAGTGAGCACCTCCTGACCCTCTGTTGTGCACACAGATTTGGATCAGCAGAGCCTGCCAAGTGAGCCAGAGGAGGCCCTGAGCCGGGAGCTAGGAGAGGGCGAGGAGACAGAGCTGGCCCCTCCCGAAGACCTGCTGCCACCCCCTCAGACCCTCTCAAGGCAAGGCCTGGACTTGGAGGAAGCGGAGGACAATGTGGCAGCCAGGGAGACCTTGCTGCGGCTCTCGTCCCCCCTTCACTTCGTGAACACGCACTTCAATGGGGCAGGGTCCCCTACAGATGGAGTGAAGCCCTCCTCTGGAGGACCAGTGGAGATACTGAGCCCGGAGGCAGTGAGTGTTGAACTCACCACCGCACCCAGCACCCTGTCACCCCTACTCTCCCTTGCTGAAAGTGACCCAGTTCCCTCCCCCTCAGGGCTCCCCGCTCTTCCCCAGGACTTAGCCCAGCCCCTTCCTGCCCCTGAGGAAGAAGAGGCGCTCACCACTGAGGACTTTGAGTTGCTGGATCAGGGGGAGCTGGAGCAGCTGGATGCAGAGCTGGGGTTGGGGCCAGAGACATCCCCAGAGCCTCCTGATGCTCCACCCCCTCCGCCCCTAGGGCCTGACACCCTGTCCGGGGTACAGGCAGACCAAGAGGCTCGGGCCGTGGCAGAGCCACGAGCTGTGGAGAAGCAGTTGCAGGCACAGTAGGATTTCCTGGCTAGAGGTATCACGGTCTCCCCCTTTCTTGACTATGGGGAGGGGCAACGTGTGGGGGAGCTGGCTGTCAGAGGGCAGCCAGTCCACCCTCCTCCTGCCTGCCTGCTGTCCCAGGCCCAGCACAGTCCCTGTGCCTAGGATTGGTTTTAAGTTTGTAAATAATTTTACTTTTGGGTTAGTGGATGTGAACAGGGCTAGGAAAGTCCTTCCCACAGCCTGCACTTTGCCTCCATGCCTCATCTCTGTTCACTCCCTTTCCCCAAACCCTGGTGGTCTCTCTATTTCCTCCGATCCTCAGGGACCTGTGCTCCTCTGTCCTCATGTCCCATCTGGTTGTTTAGTTCAGGCACTTTATCATTTTTCTCTCTTGACCCATGCTCCTCTCTGCTTAATTTCCCTGCTGGGTTCTGTCCTTAGCAACTCAGCCCCTGTACTTTGCCAGGTCCTCCCTGATGTCAGGGAGGTTCCTGTCTGGAAGGTACAGACTCAGCCTGGGTGGTGGGTCAGACCAGTAGTTCTGTGCATAGATCACTGTATCCTTATAACATTCTCTAACCTCGCCCCAGTTCATTCAGCCTTCTGTGCTGCAGGAGAGCAGGGATCTCAGCACACGCACCAGCACTGCACGAGTGAGCAGGAGCTCTGTCTTGCTGGGATGATGGACTCGAGCCATCCTAGGGAGGAGTAAGGAGACCTCCTCGGGGCCTTGGGTGGTCCAGGTGTGGTGGGACCTCTAGGGTCAGGAAGTGGGTGGTAACATCTGTGCAGGTGTCGACTGGAAAAATAAAGTGTTGATTGCCTGGAACCGCTGCTGCTGCCTGCCTGCCTCACTGCGAGCTGCCTCCCCCACCGTGCCCTGTCCCCTCCTCACCCCACCTCCCGTCCCCAGTCTTGCTCCTGGCTATTTATTTACCTTGTGTCTCGGAGCTAGGCCAGAAGCAAGAATTCCCTGACAGCCCTAACGTCCCTTAGCCATCTTCTCTGACAGTGTGATATGTCTAGTGAGATTTAGCATGTGTGAATAAAGTGTATGCAGGAAGAAAACTGCCTTGTCTTCCCAATCAATAGAAACTTGGGACCATAATAACGCTCTCTCTACTATGTCCCCTATAACCTTAACTCTTGTCTTAAGAAGTCCTCACCCACTTACATGCTAACAATTTACTCAGCTCTGATTTATCTAAACTGGAGAAAACCAGTTGCTTGCTAGACCCAGGTCACAGGACACGAGTGAAACAGCCTCCCGCACTTAGTGAATGCGTAACGGGCACGGCACTGGCCTGAGTGCTTCATGTTAACATTTTGTTCTCATACTCTGAGACACATAATGTCACTAACCCCATTTTATAGTCTTTGTAAGTGAATGCTAGGATCCAAACCCAAGCTGTTGGGGGCTAAGGATGACACCTGACCAGGAAGCCCCTGTCCACTAATAGAGCACTAGTTAGAAGACTCTCAGGGACATGGAGCTCCACTGAGCCGGTCTTCACAAAGACCGGAGTCCTCGCCATCCTTTCTCTTTGGGGAAGGATACTAGAAAACCCAGAACCAAACAGAGGGCCTCCTTTCCGAGTCCACGGTTTGGCCTTGAGTGGAGGCACCATATGGCAGTGCTAACCATCGTTCAGAGGTTGGCTCCATACTGTGTCTCTCCGAAGCATGTGAGAATTTGTCCCTTTCCACTTGTTTCATATTTGCCTAAGAGTCTTCCAAAGATTGAGGCCCTATCCTCAGCCATTAAAGGAACATGAACTTTTAACCAGAGAGTTCAGAGAATGGAAAAACTTCATCAACAAGCAGGCAATTCAAGGAAAACAACCAACCAGACGGTGGCTGCCATGTGCACCACTGTTAGTCCATTTCCTTGTTCGACTTGCAGTTTGAAGGTAGAACCAGAGGCTATAGTTGAATCAAAACATTTACCATAGTCTTAGAGTTCCATGAAGGCCTATTCTTGACATTCACCACGTCTGGTGGTTGCTACATGTTTGTCTACAGTTTTTTTCTCTATCAGGTGTCCTGATCATGTTCTGCCTCCTAAGGAAAGGAACAAGGAAGTTTTTCATAGGATTGAAAGAAGAATGAGCAGAAATGTGAAACCTACTATTAGGCTAAGCAGTCACCAATTGTAGAAATGCATGCTGGCAGAGACAGCTGGACACTCCAGTTTACTACCTTCAGGTGGCTCCCAGCATAATGCCTGCTCACATGCTTTATTTACTTCTAGGCAGCACCACTGGAAATCCTTTCAGAGAATGGCCTGTTTGTGTCACGTTAACAAATTGAGAAATATAGTTTGCTCCGTGCTCGTGAAGAACCGGCAAAGAAACAGTGTTTAAGCCAAGGAAAGAGGGGAATTGGGTCCTTTGCTATCTCCAAGCTCTGAGGGCTTATGTGTAGATCTTCAGAAGTAAAATCTTTAAGAAGAATTTGATTAATAGTGCTCGGCAATTCCTCCTCAGCCACATTTCTGACTCGGCCATCCTGACCCTTACTGTCACCCTCTGCCTTGCTACTGCCTAACCACTTGGCACTGATGCTCTGTGCCCCTGAGAACACCTGCTTATTTCTTAGAATCAAGTTGAAGACAGGATCCTCATCATACTGATATTGGAGACAGATGTGTATATATATATGTAAGTAGAGACAATATACAAATATATACCATTTTTTATGCTGTAAGAAGAATTTTGTTCTGTGTTTTTAATTTGCTGAGCAAAAATTTTTAGTTTACATTTTATACTTTCTTTTAAGCACTTTACATACATCATTTCATATAATAACCTCACAAAGTAGTATTGTTCCCATTTTATCGGTGAGGCTTGGGAAGTCAAACCTGGACTCTAAGAGTCCATCTAGTTTTCCCGGTTGAGTGCTTTACACTGTACTGAACACCATGTGGTTTTGTGCTGACATAATTAAACCAGATTTGCCCTGCCAAAAGCGGTAGCATTGGAAAACACTAGACTCCACTCTCTGGCTTCTGATTGTGGTTCCTGATATGGAAACTGCCATTAATAGTCCTGAGTAAATACAGCATCCGTGGGGAAAAAAACAGTACAGGGTGGAATTTGTTTTTCTGGTCAAGGAATATTGCAGAACAGTAGACTTAAATGTTCTTTGAAAGCACAAAGGTCAAGGACATATATTCTAGGAACTGTTAATTCCATCATGGAAGGACAACGTATCACCAGGTTGTTTGCCTAACTTTTATTAGTGCCTAACTTAAATTTCCTTGGACTTCCCTGCCTCCTCCTGCTCCCCTAAATACTGGTATTTCACTGCATCTGTCACTGGCTCGCTTTTCTTGTCAGCCTTCCTGTCCCATATGCCTACCTGTTTAATTTCCACGCCTAGGCTCATGACTTCTAAGTCATAGCTCCTTTTCCAAACTTCCAGTGAGGCGTCCACCTCCACTTGCATGTTCCATGCACGCCTGATGCTCAGCAGACCAAAAGCTGAACACAGCCTCGTTCCACTTGCACTCCAACAGATTCTGCCCAGCTCCCCTAAACAGACAGGCATTTGTGTTTTCCATCTTGCTGGCTGGCACACCAACTATGAAGCTTATGCTCCCTCATCCCACACCCTGTCAATCACCTGTTGCTACTAATTTGGTGACCCAATTATTTCTTGGTTCCATCACAGCCATTATTCACATCCTCATCTCTCATGTGGAGACTCTTGGAGCCCACCTGAAATCCATGCCACGCAAAGCGGCTAAATTATTTTAAGTTACACATTTAATGACTCCTGCAATCTAATATGCACCAAAGGCTCTCCTCCTACAAATAAAGTTTTGATATGATCAACACTCCACAGTTCTGCCCCCCCCGCCTTACTCTTTATCCACATAAAACTCCAAACAGCTTGTCCTTCCCTCTGCTCAATGCACTGCTCTCCCCACCCATTCCACAAACACTCATCCATATCCCGCCACCTGATTGACATGTCACTTTTCTTTTAAGGTAGGCTTCAGGTCACATCTCATCTAGAAAACCTTCCCTCTAGGCCCACATCACCTACCCCCATGCCACACCTATTCCAATGCTCTCTCGGTGTACTTTTTTTTTTTTTTTTAAGATTTATTTATTTGTACATACAGAACCGGGGTACAGGCTAGAGGCTCAGGGGCGGTGAGAGGCTTCACCAGAGACAGAGTGGGGAGCAGAACAGGCAGATCGACGAAGCACACTGCTGAGGGGAGCAGCGGGTGGGTCAGGAGAGGTCTGCCACACCATGTGGTCACCTCCGGGGCAGGCGGGAATCGAACTCATGCGGAAGTGGCTTCAGCTTCTCAGTGCAGTGCTTTAACCCGCTGCGCCACCAGGGAGGGCCCTCTCGGTGTACTTTTACTTTCCTGTGTGTCACACAGGAATGTTCATCTCCACAGAAATACGGTATTAGAATACATCATGTAGTGCAGCTATAACAGACACCACCACACTGCTTGTTCGTGAGCACAGGGACTATCCTCAACATCTAGCAGAGTCTGGCACATAGAAGATGCTCAATAAATGGCTACTGGACTAAAATGAATGGGCATTAGAGTAACCAGGTCTAACTTCTGATACAGGCACTGTAAGCAATATTTGGTATTTTAAATTCTAAGTCACATGTCTGCTGATGGTAGTTATCTTGACTTTGTTATTATGAGAGTAGATGACAGTTGACTTAACTCACGGGTAATGTGTAAGCTCCTCCCTATGACCCAACAATCCCACTCCTAGATGTCTACCCAAAAGACACATAAACACTGATTCAAAAAGATACCTGCACCCCCATGCTTACCGCTGCTTTATTTACAATTGGAAAAACATGGAAGCAGCCCAAATGCCCAAAAGTAGATGACCGCCTTAAAAAGATGTGTTACATATACACAATGGTATATTACTCAGCAACCAAAAAAAAAAAAAAAAAAATATGTCTTTTGTAGCAAGATGGATGGAGCTGGAAAAGATCATGCTTAGTTAGATTAGCCAGAAAGAGAAAGAAAAATATCGGATGGTTTCACTCATAGCAGGAGTATAATGGACCAGGCGAGAAAATAGCAAGAATAATGAACAACCATATACCAGAGACATTTTGTGGGGGTGGAGTGGGGAATGGGATCAAAAATGGTGGGGGGAGGCAAGTGCACTAGATTATGGTGACAGCACATGGGTGACTTGGTGATGGGAAACCCATGGGGATTACAATTGAGATGAAAAAAAAATGTACAAAGTGATGTAAAAATAAACTATAAAAAAAATGTGGAAGCTCTGTATTCCTGACTAAAAGAAAGACAATGCAAATGATCTAGATTTGAAGGTTCATATTTTCTGGATTTGAAGCTAAAGGCTTTCCTGAGTTTAAGGTAAGATTATCCAATAAGCTTGAGCTATGGTTGCATCAGATCACATTATTTACAAAATAAAAATGTGTTATATATCAAACACTAGATCTCCTTGGTTGGGGATCGAACCAATTTCACAAGACATAACAAAGTTGAAGAGCTATTTGAAAGGAGACCAAAGAGACATGACAATCAATGCAAGGTGTGATCCTGGGTTGGATCCTGAGTAGGAAATAAAAAGTTATATAAATATAAAGGATGCTATTAGAACAATCGGTAAAATTTAGATATGGATTATATATGAGCTAAAAGGCTTTATTAATGAAAAGATTTTTTTTTTGATGAAATGGACTGAAGTGAGTTTATTCTTTTGTATTGTAATTGCTTTGACAAGTAATCAGGTATAAAGATATTGAATTAACTACAGACATTTAAAAGAATGTTCTCTTGGGCCCTCCCTGGTGGCGCAG